CGTGCCAAGCTGGAGGCCGCCATTGCCGAGGCTGAGGAGCGTGGGGAGCTGGCACTCAAGGATGCTCATGCCAAGCAGGAGGAGCTGGAAGCTGCCCTGCAGCGGACCAGGCAGGATATGGTGCGGCAGCTGCGTGAGTACCAGGAACTCATGAGCGTGAAGCTGGCCCTGGACATCGAGATCGCCACCTACCGCAAGCTGCTGGAGGGCGAGGAGAGCCAGTTGGCCGGAGATGGAGTGGGAGCCGTGAATATCTCTGTGGTGAATTCCACTGGTGGCAGTAGCAATGGTGGTGGCATTGGGCTGACCCTCAGGGGAACCATGGGCAGCAATGCCCTGAGCTTCTCCAGCAGTGCGGGTCCTGGGCCCCCTGAAGGCTTACTCAATCCGGACCACATCCACCAGTAGCAGGAGTGCCCGCAACTGAGCTGCCTCCCACCACTCCATTCCTCCAGCCACTGCCCACAGTCACAAGAAGATTCCCATCCCTGCCTCCCATGCCTGGTCCCAAGACCATGAGACAGTCTGGAAAGTGATGTCAGAATAGCTTCCAATAAAGCACCCTCATTCTGAGGAAAAAAAAAAAAAAAAGTTAAAAACAAGAGAAGAAACCTGAGAGAACCCGCTTCCAGTCTCCTGTCTCCCTTTGTGCTCCACCTTGTTAAGATACAATGAGAAGACCTCTGTCTGCAAACTGGAAAGCAGCCTTCCCCAGACCCTGGATCTGCAGGCAACTTGATCTTGGACTTCCCAGCTTCCAGAACTGTGAGAAATAGACATATGGTGTTTAAGCCAGCCAGTCTATGGTAATTTCTTATGGTAGTCTGAGCCGACTGAAACAAGCTATGCCTCCCTAAAAACCATGCAGCTGGACAGAGCTGTGAAAGAGCCCAGGTGACTTCAGAATCCCCACACACACGCTTTCATCATTCTCATTACGCCTTTGGAAACTTCCATTTCAGGGAATTGCCTGTCCCTAAACAGCATTATAAACAGGCAGCATAATATAATAAAGAGAGCACTGAGCTAGGAATCAGGGCACCTAGGGTCCAGCCCAGGTTCTGTTATTAGGCACCTGGGTGACGCTGGGCAAGTCACTTCAGCTCCATGATTCTCATCTGTAAAGCAAGCAGGCAGGCCCATGACTATTCCATGGGCTCTAAGTTGCCTTCAAGCATGAAGGCCAATGGCTCAAGCCTATCTGACCATTAATTTGTCCAATCAGAAAGGGATATATTTGCATAGTCAGGGAAGCTTGTTTTTAAAACTACCCCTTTTCTCTGAAAGTAATTGTGAAAGTGCAGAGAGAAGACCCTTTGGTTCTTGTTTAAAATTCAGGATCTTGAGTATTTTTCTTAAATATGGTTCCTAGTTATCTGTTACTGCATAACAAGCTATCCCATAATGTAGTGGCTCAAAACAAAATGCACCACCTTTCACAACTCTGGATTGACTGAGCTCAGTTGCACGGTTCTTGCTTGGGGTCTCTCATGCAGTTACAGTCAGGTGGAGCTGGAGCTGAGGTCACTGAAGGCTCAGCTGGGCTGGACATCCAAGATCCCCTCCCAAAGGCTGTCAGTTGATGCTGGCTGCCAGGCAGCCTCTCAGGCGGGGCACTAAGCAGAGCCCCTTCATGTGACCTCTCCATGTGTCTTGGGCTTCACCCACTGAGGGGTGAGTTCTGAGAGGAAGTGTCCCCAAGGGTGAGTGTTTACAAAAGAGAAGCAGAAACCACAAAGCTCCTATGACCTGGCCTTGGAAAACCCAGAACATCATTTCCACCACATTCTGTTGATCAGACAAGTCAGTAAAGGCAACACAGATTCAAGGGGAGAGGAATTCATTCCACTTCTTAATGGAGAAGTGTCAAGGTCCCACTACAGAAGAGTGTATCCCCTCTAAGCATCGAATTCTCCTTTTGCAAAATAGTGTCTCTAAACCAAGATCAGACTCCCATCCCCTTTTATTCTTCCAAGAAATTACTCCTGCCAGTTCTTCAATACTCAAGAGAACCCCATTCTCCCTGGCTCACTTCTCTGCTCCCCTACACATCCAAAATCACATGTACCCTTTCTCTCTGCCCCTTCTTAACTTGGGCCATCCCCCAGCCATCGCCTCTCTCAATGTCCCCTCATCTTAGAATAATAGCACCAGCACCACCTCTTCCTGTCTGGGGAGGTCAGGTCAGCAAGTGACTGGATGCGAGGGTGTGGTGGGCACCTCTGATGGCCCAGCTGTGCCAGCAGTGACTGGCAAAGCCACCCTTCTGAACCAAGAGCAGAATCCAGAGAAGGAAAGCATGTATCTTGTGAACATTTATTATATGACAAGAGTGAGTGAGCAGGAAGCTTACGGCCACCATTAGTGTACAATGAAGCAATTCCAGAGTTGATGCATTTCAGCAATTTCACATCTACAAAACCCTCTGCCCAAAGGAAGCCAAATCTTGCTCTGTGTGTGTGTGTGTGTATGCACGCGCACACGCGCACGCGTGTGTGCTCAAGTTTCAGAAACTCCAAGTGTCTTTGGAATCTTCATATGGATCTAGGAATTCCATGGGGTCCTACACCCTAAGCCATGTATCATGGAACTCTTCCTTCCTGGAAGGCCACAAAATATCCAATCTTGCTCACAGGATGAGCTCCCAGAGTAAGACCTCTGGCCAAGCCCTGGGAGTGATCTGATTGTATCTCAGATGTCTCAAAGTGTCCTAATAAGAACTGAACCACCCTGCTAGTTTCAGTAGAAAGGATCCCTGTTCCCATCACCATTCTCTTGTAAAGAGGCCAGCCCCAGAGAACACTTTCATTATCTAATCATCTTAACTTGCATAATTATTTCCCTAAAAGTACAATTAGCAGATACACTTCTGGGATTTAAATATATAGATAGCACAGGCTAATAAAAATAATTGTATCACATAAGGGAAAAGAAGCTAAAAAAAAGAAAAGAGAGATAGTAAAAGATTTAGGAAAAGACACGGCAGAAGTGAAACAAACAGAGCAGTTGTGAGGAAAAGCAGGGCGAATGAATGGGAAGGAGAAGGCAGAGAGAGAGAGAGAGAGATGGCTAGAAGAATAAGTGGTAAAACCTCATGAAAAAGCATTTCCAACCCTCCATCCCAGCAGCAGGCGGGGCCAGAGCTCCATGTGCTGATCAGGGAACCCCATAGAAAGAATCCCAGCCAAGATCTCCAACTCAGGACATTGCTCCTGCCCCACCTTCCTCTGCCTCCCCAGTGCCTTATCCTCAGTGCCTCCCTCACTGCCTCATCTCTCCTGGATGACAGCTTGTCTGATGATGAGGATGCTGCCTCCTAGGCCCCACCCTCAGTTCCAGAAACCAGAATTTTTAGAGAAGTAACCTTTCCTGCCCCAGTACCCTGGTGGGGCTTCTGGACACTGCACTACAGGCTGAGCCCCATGTCCTGGGATCCCACGTGTGTGGGAATAGGCATCAGGCAGCCAGTTGCACTCACTGCTCCTTCTTACAGCCCTAGAGGATATGAGCGTGCAATTCAGAACGTACTCGGGGGACCAGAAGACCCATGGCAGTAATGAAGTTCCTCACTTCCTGCAGTCACAGAGAAGACGTGGTGAGGACTAAGCCCAGGATCTGACAGTAAGGGCTGCAGAGCTGTGGAGCCCGTTAATTCTCATCCCTACGAGACCTCTAATGACAAGGTGAGGGCACTGGTGAAGAAGCAGGGGCACTCGGAAATCAGTTGGGGAGCTTTAACTGACAGAGCAGACAAATTCCATCTGCCGAATTCCCCTATACCTTCCTAGCTCTCCAGGATGGGGTGTTAACAGCTCCATGCAGCTGGCCCCAGGGCTATGAACCATCCATCACATGCTGCCCACACTGCTATCATCAGTTCCTTTGTAAATTAAGCATCTTAAAATTATCCCGGGGTGAGTATGTCAGCTGTTTCCTGTGGGTGCCCTAACTGATATAGGTGTTAATAAATGTTAAGAGGGGAACAGAGTGCTATGGCCTAATACATTTGGAAAAGTCATGGCGAAACCTAACCAGGTTTTCCAACTGCAGAGTTTAGTCAAATACTAAAGGTACTGAGATATAAATGTGCTTTTTATTCCTGTTTCAGTAGGAGACTCAAAAGAAGAATTGGAAACCCTAATCCAAAACTAAGAAGTTAGATGTTAGCTAATCTTCATCTCAGTCTGGTTCCCAGTGCCTCACAGTAGAGTTAAGAGCACTTTATGTTTCAGAGGAAAAACAACAACAGAGGCTGATACCAAACACACAGAGGGCAACCCCCAACTGAGATTTAGTTCAAGAGATGGAGACCAACTAAAGAGGAAGGGTAGGATTTCCCAGGCCCTTGGGTGATGTGTGGGGATAGACAGAGATGGGTATCTTGGAGCAGCAGGACCTGAGCCCCAATTCCAACAGTTCCATAGGGTGGCCTGAGTTCCAATGGAAGCTCCAGTAGCCTGGTGCCCAAGGGAAACAGACATGGAGTCAGTGACTTGAGAACCTTGGCCAAGATCCCTGTGCCCAATGTTGGCGTGGAAACAACAGAGCCATCCACTGTACAGGGCTCTCATCAGTGACCATAAGGGACTTGTGGCCAGAGGCTCATCCCCAAACTTCCTATGGCTGTCATCTCCCCAGAGACCCTGCGAAATCCCAGAGAAAGGGGAAACATAAGTCAGATTGATCTGTTGCCAGTTAGAGGGAAGCAGAGGTCATCCCTAGATGCCTGGCTATGACCCCTGGATTCCATCATGGTGTGGGTGCATTCCATCACGGTGCATGTGCATTCCATCACGGTGCGGGCGCACATTCCATCACGGTACATGTGCATTCCATCACGGTGCATGTGCATTCCATCACGGTGCATGTGCATTCCATCATGGTGCGGGCGCATTCCATCACGGTGCGGGCGCATTCCATCACGGTGCGGGCGCATTCCATCACGGTGCATGTGCATTCCATCACGGTGCGGGCGCATTCCATCATGGTTCATGGGCTCTTATCAGTAGAGCTTCCAATCTGCTTGTTGATTTAATGGCTTAATTCCAAGTGGTTGGAAATGTAAGCCCTAATGCAAGGATAATGGGCAGAAAATTGTAGGGGCGGTGTTCCTTCCTATATTTGCCAGTCATAGCTCTCACTGTGTAGTCCAAATGGCACAGCCAATTTGCCCAACACTGATAAATTAGATGCAAAACCAACCAACTGTTCCAATCACTCCTCATCAACTAAGATCTAGAAAGAAGAGCTGTTCTTACCTACCCACCTTATGGAAGTCTATTTTCTGGCCTCCTTCCCTCTCTCCCAGAGGTATCCTCTGCTCCTTGTGCCCCAGGCTCAGCATTGGACTTGATAGTCCCATGTGCTAGACCTGGAATTACTAATTAAGTCAACAGGTCTTCATGGAACGCCTGCCACGTTAGGCAACAAAGGGCATACAACAGATTGCACAGTATTTTTTTTTTTTTGTACCAAAATGGATACTAGGTTTTCTGATTAAAATGCTAAATTGAGCGTGTGAAACCCTCTAATTTGATGGAATAAATGATAAAAGCCAGCAGGGACACAGAGAATGAGACAGAAGTCAGTAG